CACTTAGAATGTCGATCGCTTGAACCACAACCCCTGGGATGACCTTACAAGACGGGGAACCCGATCCCTTACCAGGGTCGACGTGGGGCCCCTCGCTCCAATCCCCGAGCCTTGCAACCTTAATTTGCAAGCTTAGATATAAATAATAAAACAAGTGTTGATGATTCAGGGTTTGGGGCTTCCACATCGAGACTCTGCATCTCGGCTCTTTGTCAGGTGCAATGGCGCACGGCCCTTGAGCCTTGATTCTTGCATCCTACCTAAGGCCTAGGTCCAGAACCTTTCTCAAAAACACGCCGACAGAACCCCGAAATCCTAAACCCTAACACCTCCCCCCCAAGTCTTTAGCCGCCTGAGAGCAAACACTGAGACCCCCAAGCTCAGAGAGGGCTCTGGTGCCTGCCATGGTGCCCAAGCTTCTGGGCCTCCTCGCTTTCGTGGCTCTGGGTCTCCAGGGCTGTGATGAAGGCTGCAGGCCTTCGGGTGTTGGGGGATCTGCGTGGTTCAGGGATGTATTTTAGGGCTTCAGACCTGGCATCAGGGCAGGGACGTCATTATTATTAGTAGTACTATATATATATATATAATATATATATATATGTGACATTGACCGCCAATTCTCCTGTTATGATTGCTGGTGCTTTTCGTTGCTGTGAAGCGATTATCAGTACTGTGTAGTACTCATGTTGGGGCACGAGTATATACTTGTTTTCTGTAGTAGCAATCGTCGTCGTCATTAGTAGTAGTCATCGTTGTAGCTGCTTTTGCCAAAAAAACATCGGTATTTTCGGCGCTTCCTAGCTTCGTTGCGTGCGAATGGACACTGCAAGTAACGTGCATGGTTGTTCGATGTTATTTGCAGTGTTGCGTTCACATGAAATGCTAAACATCGCTATTTACGACGCTTCGTGGCTTCGTTGCGTGCGCATGGCCAGAGCATCCATGTCCGTACAATGATAGCGTCCGTGTTACCAGAGCATTCATGTCCGCACGATGATAACGTCCGCGTTCCCAGAGTATCCATGTGCTACTAGTGCTACTACTGCTACTACGACTGCTTCTACGACTGCCACTACCACTACCACTACCATTACCACGACCACGAACTGGCAGTGCCAAATACCTCTCGTGCAGCAGTTGCAATGGACAAAACACTGCCCACCATCGCAGACCGGAATATGCGCAGCTGCCAGAAACCCTGCTACGCAGTAATTTCCAGCCTTCGGTGGTGCCATCTAATTCGAAACGTTATCCGCATGGAAACTGCAGAACACGTGCAAAGTGATTTGCAGGTTTGGGGAGGAGCGGATCTGCTACAGCGATGGGCGCGTTGCCGCGCAGGCTTGCATCTTGCTTCGCTTGTTCAGGGCCAACCCTAAACCCTAAACCCTAAACCCTAAACCCTAAACCCTAAACCCTAAACCCTAAACCCTAAACCCTAAACCAAGGGTTGAGGGTTTAGGGTTTCAGGTTTCGTGTTTAGGGGTAGGGGGATTCTGGGCTGCTCACTCTGAACGGCTCATGCAGTTTGCGAGCCCGAAGTCGGAAATCCCAACGCCGAAATTCCAGGCACCCCCAAGGGTTTAGGGTTTAGGGTTGAGGGTTTAGGGTTTAGGGTTTAGGGTTTAAACCCTGAATCCTCAAGCCCGACAGACCGTGGACCAGGTGGAGTGCGAGTCGCTGAGCAAGCACAACGTCACTACCATGAAAGACCCCTACAAAAAGGGCTACAAGGCAGCCTGGAGCTTCTTGGGGTGGGGGTCTTAAAGCTCTTCTGGCGCCTGTAAGCACCTTAAACCCCTAAGGCCCTTGACACGCAGGGACCTGTAGCTCTTAAAGTCTTGAAGCCGTAAAAAGCAGAAGCCAAGCTGTGGGGCCTTTCTTTTTCGTGGACTGAACTTCAATCAGAGGTTCATCTCCATCCCCCGTTTATTTAGGGTTTCGGATTCAGGGTGTAGGGTTTAGGGCTTAGGGTTTAGGATACATCCTCTCAGCCCTGAAGGCCTAAAGGCCGAAACCAGAAGCGCTAATTCGGGTTTACAAAGCCCCGGAGGTAAAAAAAAAAAGCCCTAAGACCCCAAGCCCCAAAGAAGGCAACCCGATGGGCTGATGTCCCTGACTTGTTCCCTGGCGGCCCTGGGCAGGACGGATTTCAGGAGGCACTCTACCACTTCCACGGGCACACGCGCACCGACCTTTTATTAGGGGTTTAGGGTTTAGGGCTTAGGGTTTAGGGGGCCATTGTCGGAGGGTTTGAAGGTTTCTGACTTTGTAAGGGGGTTCGTGTTCAAGCTTCAGGAGGTTCGGAGACGTGGTTATCACGAGTTGCAGCATCTTTTCGAGATTGAGCAGCTTTGGGAGAGGTCGGGGGAGGGGCTTATGGCGTGTAGGGTTTAAGGTTTTGGCACGTTTAGGGCCTAAGCTTCCCATGAGGGGCAGGGCCGAACCTCACGTTCCCGAGGCTTTCGTAGCTTCGCAACCGTGAACTCATTTTTTTCAAGTTCTCAAAGTTACCGATGCTTAAGAACATGTCCTGCGAGGCCCTCCCCCCGCAGAACACACACACACACAAAACACGCAAGAAGGAAAGCAAGGAACCCCTAAACCCAAGAAGGCAAAGTTCTCGATCCCGCCGCCAAGGTATACCTGGCTTGAGTGGCTGCGAGACCTGCTCGCCGGGGCATGGCATTGAGGGCAGATCTGTGCTGCGGGTTTAAGTTTTGGGCTTGGGGAGGGGGGGGGGGCGATTCCAACGGAACAGCCTGTAACCCTAAAGCCCTAAACCCTAAACCCTAACCCCTAACACCTAAACCCTAAACCCCTAAACCCAGGCCCCAAGTTTCTAATCACCCTGGCTCCCAATGCTGCTATCCATACCGCCAGCCACAGCTCCTGGGGCAAACAGCGTCAGGCCGACTCCAGAAACCCTCAAAATTCGAGGTTGTAGGCTTTGTACTGACTAGGATGCCCAGTAGTACCGTTATTCCCTTTTTGGGGGGTTTAGGTTTCCTTATCAACCCCTTTAAGCAAACAAGGGCACCCTTTTTGAGCCTAGGTTACTGGGCAACCTAGCTGAAGAGTTTATGGTCTCCCCAACCACCTCTAAGCGGCAAGCGGAAACAGAAGCTCCTGTGAATTCGGGGCGTCTGGGTTCACGTAAGAGCTTGGAAGGCAACTGACAGGTTTAGGGTTAGGGTTTAGTGTTTTAGGAGGGTCTTTAAGCCACTGAGATCTATTCATTCCCGGCCGGCGTCCCCCCGCCCCCCACACACCAAGCAGAAATCGAAATCGATATTCAAAGGGGCCATGCCCATGCTTAGTAGTCACTGCATCATATCAAATAGTGTCATATCAAATTACATATATATATATACATTAATATATATAAATATATATATATATATATATATATATATATGTGGTCACATTATGTGTATGTATATATATGTATATATATATATATATACATACATCTGCGTGTTTTTTTGCTTATGGACCGGGATCGGTTGAGGGCTTTGCAGGCAGGGTTACAAAGGGTGGCCAGGCTGGTCGATTTCGTAGCCATCATCGCGGCGGTGCTCCTGCCCTGGCCTCGGGCCTTAACCCTGAACCCTAAACCCTAAACCCTAAACCCTAAACCCTAAACCCTAAACCCTAAACCCTAAACCCTAAACCCTAAACCCTAAACCCTAAACCCTAAACCCTGCCCTTGCCTTGCCCTTAACCCTCCAAAGCCCCCAATCCCGCGTCGCATGGCAGAGTTGACGGCATCTCTCCAACTCCGAAGGCACAAGTTTACTGCGGACCCTGAACCCAGGCAACATGCTCGTCTGCTAGTCTGCCCCCGGTCCCAGGGCCCAAAGCGCAAGAAAGTTGGAACCCTAACCTGACTTTGCGAACTACCGACCCAAACGCTCCTATGTAGTACCTTTTTGGGTAGTATACTAGAATCCCCTATAACTAACCCAAAAAGGAACTACGTTGGAGCCTTTGAGTAAACACTGAGTCTGAAGAGCATTCGTTTCTTCCGCCTCTGAAAGGACGGGCTTCTCGGTGGGCTACTTCAAGACGCGGCAAGAGAAGCCCGAGACCGCCGCACGGGTTTGGACCTAGGTGTTTAGGGTTTAGGGTTTAGGGTTTAGGGCCCTTCCGGGAATCCAGGAACGTGCTTCTTTTTCAGCGGGATCTTGCAGTAAGATGCTCCCTCAGAACTTGGCGGCATGGAAAGCAAGGATCTCATTCTCTCATCTTTTGTGTGTCTTGTCCTGAAAGCAGTATTCCACTATTTGCTTAAGAACCCTCAAAACAAAAGTCCCCATCTTGCACTTATAAGGAAGAATATATATATATATATACATATATATGTATATATATATACATATATATATATATATATATTTTTTTTTTTTTTTTTTTTGGGGGGGGGGGGGGTCCTTGTATTACAAGTGGGTTCACGGCGCAGCTGCGGCGCCGGAGAGTTGTTCCTCTTTCGGGTGCTCAGCTCCGCACCATGCGGTGAAACTTCCCAGGGCCTGCTTCAACGTGTCCTGGGCAGTCACTGTTTGAGCACATAGTAGCTTGGGGGACTTAGCAGAACATTCAGAACCTGCACCCTAAACCCTAAGCCCTAAACTCCAAAACCCTAAACCCTAAACCCTAAACCCTAAAACCCTAAGCCCTAAACCCTAAACCCTAAACCCTAAACCCTAAACCCTAAACCCTAAGCATTGCAGAGGCCCCTTCAGACTTCATCCCCCTGCCCCGCGGGCAGTGTGACACCCTGCGGAGGACGCACGCCGCGCCCTCCGCCGGTGGGAAGGCGGCCATGCGAAGGCCATTTTAGGGTTGAGGGTTTAGGGTTTAGGGTTTAGGGTTTAGGGTTTAGGGTTTAGGGTTTCAGGGTTGTTTTAGGAAGGTTTAGGGTTCTACGCTGCCCCCAAGACCGCCATCCCCCACTTACGATTCTAAGGGTCTTGAGGTCTCTTCGCTTCATATTGCTTATGAAGATCCGGACAATGCTAAACCCTACAGCACAAGCGCTGCTAGCCGTGAGCCTCAGGAGCATGACGATGATCGGTTTGCAGAAGATGGGGGTTCTGAAAGGGGAAGACTTCCACCGCCAGTTGGCGGAGGCACACGAGCATGAGAAGGACCGCCTCCGGGCCGAACAGGCACATGCTTACGTTCCGATTACGGCCTTTAGTTCAGGACAATTCTGGTGGCTAGTTTCCCCCACCTTACTGACCACGTATGGAAGCCCTTTACAAAGTACCAAAAAACCCTCAACACGCCGCCCCAACAGCCAAGTAGCAGTTCCGGTTTTTTGACCAAGAGCAGCAACCTTGAGCCCGCTAAACCCTAAACCCTAAACCCCAAACCCTCAATCCTAAACCCTAAACCCCAAACCTAAACCCTAAACTCGTAAACCCCTTGGCGCAGGAGCGGCACAAACCACTTCTGTCAGCTCTGGCCTCATGACGCCAGAGAGCGACCCCGGAGACAGAGCCAAAAAGAAGGGGAGGGAGAAAGGGTTTAGGGTTTGGGGTTTGAGGGTTTAGGGTTTGAGGGTTTAGGGTTTTGAGGGTTTAGGGTTCATGAGGTGTAGGGTTTATGGGTTCAGGGTTTGGAGTGTTTGGAGTGTTTGGAGTGTTTGGTGTTTGGGGTTTGGAGTATGGGTTTAGGAGTTTGGCCCAAAACACCAAATCCCGTAAACCTATACTGTACCCCTAAAGTCCCCCAAAACCCCCTGTACAGTGCCCTGCCCGCTAGAACCCTGGAACCCTGGAACCCTGGAACCCTGGAACCCTAGAACCCTCGAACCCTCGAACCCTCGAACCCTAGAACCCTAGAACCCTACACCCTAAACCCTACAAACAGCAAACCCTAAAGAACCCCCCCCGCCCGCCCCCCAATGAGACCCCGAAGCCGACATGGGCCAGGGTACCCAGCTGCCACCACTGCCCAGGAGGCTGGGGTTTAGGGTTTAGGGTTTAGGGTTTAGGGTTTAGGGTTTAGGGTTTAGGTTTAGGGTTTAGGGTTTAGGGTTTAGGGTTTAGGGTTTAGGGCTTCAACCCTATGAACCCCATTATCAACCCCATTCTGATCCCTGTTACGAGCCCGACATACTCGATGAACCCTCGAAAGCCTATAACTGGCTGGTTCTTGGTAGGGAATGAGGGAATGATAGCTTAGGAGGGAATGAGTGAATGAGGGCCCTACATAAACCCTTTAAGGGATTACATAGGGTACCTCATTCCCTCACCCCCTACATATAGGGTACCTCATTCCCTCCATACACCCCATCAACCCCACGAACCCATGTGAATCCTAGCAGCTCAAAACTCAATAACCCTGACTCTTGTGTGGTTCAGGTTGGGTTTAGGGTTTAGGGTTTAGGGTTTAGCGTTTAGGGCTTAGGGCTTAGGGTTCAGGGTTCAGGGTTCAGGGTTTAGGGTTTTAGCCACGCGGCCCCTAAGCCCTACCCCCCCCCCCCCCCCCCCTGTGACTCCAAGGGCCAGCCCTGACAAGCTCGTATACAAAACCCAAACACGTGCGCGGACCATATTTTGATCCTGGCCATGCTTTCAGCTACGGGTAATTACTGCTGCTACTAGCTACTTTTGCTACTGCAACTACTTCTTGACTGCGTGTTTTTTGCTGCGGCTTTCGAACTACACAGTATGTATTTCCAAGGCCTAACGGCACGTCTCGGTTGCTCCAGCGATCCTTCTTCGAGCGGCTGCTGTCAGGGCAGGTGCTACCAGGGTTTAGGACTTAGGGTTCAAGGCTGCTTTTGTCCTGTCAGGTTGATGGGCTGAAACCCTTGTGCAAGCCCTCCCTCCCTCTTAGAAGGTGGGAGAAGGAGGTGATGGAGGAGGGTTTGCAGGGTTAAGGGTTCAAGCCCCAAGTCCCAAAGCTTGAGAGCCACATTCCTCGGACACCTCCATCTAGTCTGTCTAGCGTTGAGGGAGACCCAACTTAAATCAGAAGCCCAAGTAGCTGGACACGGCATCTCCGGTTAAGGGCTTAGGGTGTGAGGGTCGGGTGACAGGTTAGGAGCCGTCCCAATAGATCTGACACCATGCCTCCAAAATCCTGAAGCAACCCTCCCTGTGGCCTCCCCCGAACCCTAAACACCCTAAACACCCCTAACTCTACACCCTTTAAGCCGGGTTTAGGGTTTAGGGTTTAGGGCTTAGGGCTTAGGGTTTAGGGTTTAGGGTTTAGGGTTTAGGCACCGCACCCTACTCTCTGGAGCCCGGAACCAGATCGAGCTGCAAAGCAGCCTGCCTTCGGACGTCTCCTCGGCACAGACCGACATCAAGTCGGGAAGCCCAAGAGTCAAGATTTCAACAAGCTGGTACCTCCTTCGACTAACAATGATTATTCACTGTCATAGCTACTTTTCATTTTGTTATTCATGGATTGTTAATGTGACTATATATATATATATATAAACCTATATATATATATATATTTTTTTTTTTCTTTTGTGAGGGGGGGGGGTCCTTATCAAGGGATTTTGGGTAGAGGCATAGGAGGGGTGCCTTTGTGTGGGAGCTAATATCTTCTCCAAAGAGCCCGTGAATGACGCAGGTCTGTGGCTTGGAGGGTTTAGGGTTTAGGGTTTAGGGTTTGGGGTTTAGGGTTTGGGGTTTAGGGTTTGGGGTTTAGAGGGACCCTGGGTGCGTACTGCGTACAGTTCCTGGGTTCCGTCTCTGGTTCCCAGGAATTCATTTGCTCAGGTTTAGGGTTTAGGAGTTAGTCAGGGTTTAGGGGGAGTTTAGTGTTTAGGGTTTTGGGTTTAGGGTTTAGGGTTTAGGGTGAGGTCTAGGGTTTAGGATTTGGGGTTGAGGGTAAGGGTAAAGTAAAGGGTAAAGGGTCAAGGGTCAAGGGTCAAGGGTCAAGAGCTCTTCTACGCCATTGGTACTGCTGCTTGGACCATCGTGCTTTCAAGTTCTAGATGGCCTCTGAGAAGACTTTGCATTCTGGGTCTCGGGGTTTCGGGTTCGGGGGAACTTGGACTACCTGCAGACGTGCAGCCCAACATAGTTCGCTTGAAGGGAGAAGCTACAGCTACCTCCCTGAACCTCAGTAAACCCCCCAACACCTACTGTAGGGGTCGGAAGAGTTGCGAAGAGTATCCCCTTAGGGTCCCTCTCTCATTCTCCTATAATAGCCCCCAAAACCTTATTCTAACCATTAAGGCTCCTGCAGTAAACCCTGAAACCCCCCGAAGAAAGCCTAAACACCGGTAGGCACCTCGATCTTGAGCATCTGCTGGTCCTACGCGACGGCTGGGGCCTTCAGTTTCAGGCTTTAGGGCTCAGAGGCTTTAGAGGTCTTACTGTTTAGGAAAAGGATTTATGTGCCCTAAACCCTAAACCAGGTTTCCGAGGGTTCACAGATTGCCCCCACGAAAGCTCTTTCAAACAGTGCGACACAGCAACAGAGGTTCAAGGCGTCAGGGGCTTAAACCCTAAACCCCAAAAACCCTAAAACCCTTAAGATTGTGGAGGTTTCTGCGGTTTTGGGCAGGGCTTGGGGCTTCAGGATTTTAGGGATGTTGCAAGGCGATCGCGGCCCAATCACGAGTGGTGCAGAGCAGACCTGACAAGTGCAACATGTCAGTTTGCTTGCTTACGATCGATGAGCTCAAGAGCGGAGATGCCACAATGGGCACCTCCTGAGTCGTTCTGGGTCGCGGTGGCCAGGCAGATCTCGGTGTGCCCCGTGGAGGGTGGTGGAAAAGTGCATGGGCTCGATGATGGTGACAATGCTGGCATGGGCACATTGGTTCCCATTGAGCCCCATTGAATAGTAGGCGGAGTTCAAAAACAGAGCGGGTTTGCACGGTTGAGATGCAGGTTTTGAACCCCTTTGCTGAAAAGTTCGTGGGTCCTGAGCCGAGTTAGTATCCCCCCCGGGCTGCATTTCCCCTTGTTTAGGGACCCTTGCAATCCCCTCTAAAGTGGTCTCCCCTTTATGTTCCGGGAACCCAGTCTAAACCCTAAACCCTAGACCCTAAACCCTAAACCCTAAACCCTGAACCCTGAACCCTGAACCCTAAACCCTAAACCCTAAAACCCTAAAACCCTAAAACCCTGAAACCCTAAAACCCTAAACCCTAAAACCCAAAACCCAAACCCTAAACCCTAAACCCTACGTCCTGAACCGAGACTGCTCGGACTTCAACACCGACTCGAAGAGCTACGAGGCACCGCGATCTCACTGCCGTTGGTTTAGGGTTTGGGGTTTAGGGTTTAGGGTGTAGGGTGAAGGGTTTAGGGTTTAGGGTTTAGGGTCCAGACCTGACTGACCCTAAACCTGCTAAAGTGCTGCCTTCATAGGTCCAGTTCGTGCTCAAGCGGCCCTGAACAGGTGCACCAAGCCTTTCAGGAGCAGTCCAAAGCTCAGCTGGGCATTCTAGGACCTAGGAGAGGAGGTTTAGGGTTTAGGGCTAGGGTTTGGGGCCTAGGGTTTAGGGTTCAGTCTGGGGTCTCAGCGCTAGGTGAATTCATAGCACGCACTGGGAGGAGCCCAAGCATTCGCAACCTAGCGCCCACGAACGTCCAAATCCTTTACTTGGTAGCCCAGTGGTACCCTTTATAGTATTGGGGTCGGAATAGTTACTAAAAGTATTCCCTTGTGGTCCCTTTGAAGATTATACTCTCATAGCTATTCTAATTATTCAGGCCCCTATATTTCCCGTTTTGGGTTCTGGGTTCCCTTATAAAGTATAGAGGGTGCCCTTATGATGATGTGGTTCCTGGGCTACCAACTTTACCTAGAGGGAGCTAAGCAAACCGTCCCCGATCTTCCGCTGCTTCCTTGCCTGCTCCCCAAGGCTTGTCAGAGGAACTCGCTAGGGTTTAGGGTTTAGGGTTTAGGGTTTAGGGTTTAGGCTTTAGGCTTTAGGCTTTAGGGTTTAGGGTTTAGGGTTTAGGGTTTAGGGTCTCTGGATTCTGCTAGTTGGGGTTGGGCTTTATACGGATGACTCTCTTGGGAGTCCTCTTGACGGTGGGAGTGGCCCAGCAAAGAGGCGTATGTTTGTGGCCTCCCTAAGCCCCGAAACTCTCCGCGCCTCAGACGCTGCAAGCCCTAAGGTCCCAAAAGTTGAAATTCCCGAGGCTTAGACTCAACAAGTCCGAAACCTTTCAAGTACCATAAACCCCTCAACCCTATGCCAAACCCGAAACCCCAATCTAAGCCCTTGTACACCCTGTAAACAAAAGCCCTAAGCCCTTAAACCCTCATCATACACCATAGACCTTGTCAAAACTTGTCTGATCCCCAAGCCCTGTAGCACGTCTTAAGCCCCAAGCCT